TTCAGATTTTCTATATTTATAACGGTTCAAAAAATAATAGACAAAACTTGCATATTACCCCTATGTCCTATTTTTATCCATGCCTACCATCTTGGTTGGCAGGCGGGGTCAACCGACATATTTTTAAACTACATACCCTAATGATGATTGTGGCCAATTTTGGTTAAATTTGTCTCTGTAGTTTCAGAGGAGAAGATTTTTGTAAAAGATTACAAAAAATTTGATAAAAATTGACTATAAAGGGCAATAATTCCTTAAGGGGTCAATTGACCATTTTGGTCATGTTGACTTATTTGTAGATCTTACTTTGCTGAACATTAATGCTGTTTACAGTTTATCTCTATCTATAATAATATTCAAGATAATAACCAAAAACTGCAAAATTTCCTTAAAATTACCAATTCAGGGGCAGCAACCCAACAACAGGTTGTCCGATTCGTCTGAAAATTTCAGGGCAGATAGATCTTGACCTTATGAACAATTTTACCCCTGTCAGATTTGCTCTAAATGCTTTGGTTTCAGAGAGATAAGCCAAAATCTATATTTTCACCCTATGTTCTATTTTTAGCCATGGCAGCCATCTTGTTTCGCAGGCCGGGTCATCGGACACTTTTTTTAAACTAGATACCCCAATGATGATTGTGGCTAAGTTTCGTTAAATTTGGCCCAGTAGTTTCAGATGAGAAGATTTTTGTAAAAGTTAACGACGGACAATGACAATGAATACGGACGACAGACGCCAAGTGATGAGAAAAGCTCACTTGGCCCTTTGGGCCAGGTGAACTAAAAAGGCTAACATATTTGATCATATGATAGAAATCTTTTTTTTATTATTAAAGGTGGATAATCAATATAGAAATGTTTGCCAATTGAAACATTATAATCACCTTTAAAATTTGTGTTTGGTAATTTTATGAATATTTGAAATATTGCCACCAGAAATATTTTACAAGATTTGTCAATACTGTTTTTAGCACTTTTGTCCACCAAAATTGTCTCCCTTACGGATTTCCTGTTTACACCAATGACATGTCTTTAAGTATCATTAAAATGCCATTCCTAATCCAAGCAATCCACTGTTAACATAGATTTTAAAATAATGTTTAATTAATAGTTATTGAACAAGAGTGCACATGCTGAAATGTCTCGCCTTCTCTTTACTAATCATTGATATTATGTTGATAGTCCTAAATATAAAGCTTTATTACAACTTTCACATAAACTAAACATTAACCAAGTAAACTAAACATTGACCAAAGAACCATGAAAATGAGGTCAAGGTCAGATGAACCATGCTAGGCAGGCATGTACAGCTAACAATTCTTCCATACAACAAATATAGTTGACCTATTGCTTATAGTTTAAGAAAAACAGACCAAAACACAAAAAACTTAACACTGAGCAATGAACCTCGAAAATGAGGTCAAGGTCAGATGACACCTGCCAGCTAGACATGTATACCTTACAATCATTCCATACACCAAATATAGTAGACCTATTGCATACAGTATAAGAAAAACAGACCAAAACACAAAAACTTAACTATAACCACTGAACCATGAAAATGAGGTCAAGGTCAGATGACACCTGCCAGTTGGACATGTACACCTTACAATCATTCCATACACCAAATATACTAGACCTATTGCTTATAGTATCTGAGATATGGACTTGACCACCAAAACTTAACCTTGTTCACTGATCCATGAAATGAGGTCGAGGTCAAGTGAAAACTGTATGACAGGCATGAGGACCTTGCAAGGTACGCACATACCAAATATAGTTATCCTATTACTTATAATAAGAGAGAATTTAACATTACAAAAAATCTTAACTTTTTTTTCAATTAGTCACTGAACCATGAAAATGAGGTCAAGGACATTGGACATGTGACTGACGGAAACTTTATAACATGAGGCATCCATATACAAAGTATGAAGCATCCAGGTCTTCTACCTTCCAAAATATGAAGCTTTTAAGAAGTTAGCTAACACCGCCGCCGCCGCCGCCGCCGGATCACTATCCCTATGTCGAGCTTTCTCCGACAAAAGTCGCAGGCTCGACAAAAAAGGATGGCAAATCTCGATATTTTATATTTATTTACAAGAATTTTTTGTTTAGTTATCCAATATTCAATTTGAATATAGCGATGTAAGGACAAGTAATCGTAAATTACGGGCTTGTAATGGACAACGGGAATGCTTTTCTGAAAACAATACAGGTTCAACAGTTTAGTTGTAAACTCGAAAAAGTAATGAAATAATCGTAGATGTTTCAAAAAATGTACGAGACCACGTTGTCCATGTTGTCAGAGAAAGGGTAACACTTTCCTTAAATACTTTTGGTATGATTTATTGAGCACTTTCTACTCCTTTCATAAAGTTTCTGCATTTTTAATTCTTTTTCAAGTGAAAACATCCAGAAAGAAATAGTCTTTTTGATAGAAAAACTTCTGGTCCCTGCGATATTTGACCTATGTCTGCAGCTATAACTTTGTAAACAAAATACATATGCACCGCGTGGATATTACCATATTACTAATTTTGTTATTCTTAAAAACTTCTTAAAACTTATTAAAGAGCATGGTCTTTCGTATGGATATCAAGATGATTCCGAGTATTATTTTTTTTAATGATTTAAAAGTTCAGCTGACAAGAAAGGTTGACATTCTATCAAGAACTATTTTGTCTAGCGATTGGTTATCATTGGTATGTAAAACGTCCAAAACCATAACAAAACGGATCTATTTATATTCTGATTTTTTTACGGATTGTAAAGACAAGCACATAAAAGCGATAGCTTGTATAAATATGACAAATATACCATTTAATATCAATAAACATATGGACAGGTTAAGAATGAAATTCTGTAAGTACATAAGTATGTAAAATACGGAACCGACTTCGGTAAGCAGCTTGGAAGTCTGGTCAACGGTAAAAGAAATTTGACTGCGTCATTTTCCAAAAATTGGTAAAAATCATCATCAAAGGGCAATAACTCTAATAAGGAGTTGACTGATGATTTCAATCATGCATACTTATTTGAAGATCTTGTCTTGCTGATCATTTTTGCAACATAAAGTTTCTCTCTATCAATTATAGTTTTTAAGGCAATAGACTATGTTCTATTTTTAGCCATGTCCGCCATCTTGGTTGGCAGGCGGGGTCATCAGACACATCTTTTAAACTATATACCCCAATGACGATTGTGGCCAAGTTTGATTAAAATTGGTCTAGTAGTTTCAGAGGAGAAGATTTTTGTAAAAGTTAACAGACGATGGACGCCAAGTGACGAGAAAAGCTCACTTGGCCCTTTGGGCCAGGTGAACTAAAAATCAAACAAACTTTAAATTTGGACCAACTTGAAAACTTAACCCAAAATCAAAAATCTAATTACATGTTTAAATTCAGCATAACACTGAACCTCAAGAATTCAATTTTTGTTAAAATCAAACTAAGTTTAATTTTGGATCCTTTGGACCTTAATGTGGACCAATTTGAAAACCGGGGCCTAAAATCAAAAATCTAAATACAGGGTTAGATTCAGCATATCAAAGAACCACAAGGATTCAATTTTTGATGGAATCAAACAAGGTTTAATTTTGGACCCTTTAGGTGTCACACCACCAATTACCGGTACTCCCTCCAATTTAGAACTTATGTAAAAGTAGGCCTACTGGGACAAAAAATAGTGCATTTGATGTCATTGTTTACTTAAACTAACCAACAAATTTGCAGAAATGAAACTTTTGGTGAAAGAGAAATATATTAATACCATTTTGAGCCAAAATTTACTTGTCTATGAGTTTGCATTAAACATTGAGGATTAATGCGCTCCATAGTATACTAATTTAAGATTTCCAGAAAACCAGGGGTTATCTTTAGTTGTACCTCAGTTCTGGAGGTCTCTTCTTTCTTATAAGATTTTAAAGGTATGTTGAAAATTGGCATGTAGAAAGGTGATACCTGTACGATTCAGGATATACCTGGTTTCTATGAAGTTAAACTTAAGGTAAAATATTTAAAAAGCTGTGAAAATTGCAAAATTTGGTTGAACAGATAAGGATTTTTAATTGGTGGTCTGACACCTTTAGACCTTAATGTGGACCAATTTGAAAATAGGCCCAAAATTAAAGATCTAAATACAGGGTTAGATTTGGCATATCAAAGAACCCCAAGAATTCAAGACTTTGAATTAAAGATCTAAATACAGGGTTAGATTTGACATATCTAATAAACCCCCATTGAAATTGGTCAAGAAATAAGCAATATATACAAAGTATTAGAAAAGTATTGTTTTTGGCCCCTTCTTCCTAAACGGTTAGGACCATAACCCCTAAAATCAATCCCATCCTTTTTTTTTTTATGTGGAACAATGAGGTACAGTTTCATAGAGATCCATAGACTTATATTCAAGTTATTGTCTGGAAACCAGAAAATCCTTGTTCTTTTGACACTTTTTGGCCCCTAATTCCAAAATAGTTAGGACAATAACCCCCAAAATCAATCCCAACCTTCAGTTTGTGGTATGGAACCTTGTGGTACAATTTCATACAGATCCATTTACTTACACTCAAGTTATTGCCGAGAAATGAAATGTCTTCAGACAACGATGATGATGACATCATACCATTGTACGGTCACCAATGTTTTGCAGTCGTATAAAAACTTCCAAGCTAAACTTAACCAACATTAATTAACAAAATATATATATTTTTTCAGATGTAAGAAAAACAAGAAATGAGAAATATTCTGTCAGCCATTACAAATGCATTATATTTTCCTCAGGTGCAAAAGTAAAGTTATATTTAGCCTTTTCTAACTCTATATTTTAGAAATGTTGTCTGTCAAGTGTCAACTTATATTTTTACAGCAGTACATTAACTGCTTAAAAGCAAGTAACATTATTGCTTAAACAAAAACATATTCTCACATGAACTCCAAAAGGAGTGAGAACAGTCTGTTGACAGGGTATTATACTAATCAATAAATAAAACTTACTTGTCAAAGAACCATTTCCAGATCCGAATAACAAACGACCAATTAACATAACTGGCAACATGGCTGATGTTCCTTTAAAGAATACTCCAGCAGCAAAGGTTGATGATCCAAGAACACACAGGAATGAAAATAGGAATAATCCAACTGACAAAAAAATAAATATTCATGACATTGTCTAATAAATTTGCTAGTAGATTCACATAACACAATTTTTTTTTTAAAATGAAACAGGCTTGTAACAAAAAAATGTTCAAATGGATCTGAATAATATGAACAATCTGTACCATAACTGACCAAATGAGTGCTCAAAAGATCAGAATGTCTGAGTTAATTCTTTCTGTCCTTGAAAAAATTTGATCAAAAAAAGGCAAAAAGAGAAAACACATTTGGTGTCATCTAACCCTCAGTTTCAGACTTTTCTTTCTAATTTTTTTGTTGTTTGCTCCAACTTCCCCAATAAAGTTTCCAAATTTCTGGTTTTATTACAATGACAAAGCACTGTTTCCACTTTTTCTGTCTATCATACTTGATTTACAGAATACTTTATTTAATACATACTTCTATTTCCTAGTTTATCAATCAGAAAACCAGCACCAATTACTACTACAGCATTCCTGCAATAAAATCAGAATTTGATTTAATATTAAATTTTTTTCAGTTATGTCAGGCGTTTTATAGCATATTATGCAATATGGATTTTGCTCATTGCTGAAGGTCCTATGAAGCCAATAGTGGCTAACATATCATTTGTTCATTTGGTAAATAGTTGTCTCATTAGCAATCATACCACATCTCTTTATCTTTAAATTAAGAAAATAAATACTTGTTAGTCATGAACATTTTAGTACATGAGTAGCTTTACTAAAGCCTTTCCTGCATGGAATGAAAGTCATGTTAACCTAGTCATAGTGTTTACTTCTGTCCCTAAACATGATGCATCAACTTATAAAGGATCATTCTCTTATGATTTGAAGTTTTGATCCTACCCTTCATGCCAATCTTTACCAAAGTCATTCATGGGTAAAATGATGGTCAAAATTACCTTTATAACTAACAGCATAAGGTATCAACTGACAAGACAATTTCTCTATGATTTGTATTTGCTATATAAGATTTTGAAGCAAAATTTAACAAAAGCCATTCTTGGGTATAAAGAAGGTCAAGGTCTTTAAATTAGTGTAGTAGTTACTTTGATCTGGACCATAAACTATGGACACCATTAGTAGCTAATGGAAAATATCTTACGTCCATGCGTAAATAGCATATAACAGATTGTAATCATCATTAGACATTCCAAGACATCCTTCACATTCACAGGACTCATCATATTTGGTGGAATTATCTGTGCAATTTGATACCTAAATCAAAACACATATAAAGATATATAAATCTACCACTGCATCAAGTGTGATACAATATTTATCCACTCGAGATAGTGGAATCTGTTTCTCTAATGATTTAAGACGAAATGCAGACAATCTTAATCCTTCTTTTCGAACGACCTGCAAAAAGATGTGTTCATTCTATGTGACGTCATCAGGCATGGTCGCCTTTTTTCATGACGTCACAATAGGAATTTTAGAGGAAAGCAAGAAAATTTGACATCATAATAGAATTTTGACCAATGGAGAACTGAGATCAAACGAACAACACATTGATTCAGTTGGAAAGCAGGTCACGGTTTGACCCCAAGTCTATCAGCAACAATAGAGTCACGTGACTGTGAAAATTCAGTAAAACTACGGATGAGACAAACCTCACTTTTACTCACTAAAATACCACTGTCATAGTAAAAACTTATTGATCAAAATAATTTTGAATATACATAGTTTTAACTCATCAAAACTTACACCTCAACTCAAAGTCCTTTATTCTTTATTTTATCTTCAAACTTCAGTGGCGGATCCAGAGGGGGGCGTAGAGGGCGTACGCCCCCCCTTTTGCTTGCACTTTTTTTTTTTTTTTGTAAAATGATTAATCAGACTAGACTTCGTGAACTTTGTCATTTCCCGTGTATTTAATTTTTATGCGACAATTCTTCACTTATAAAGATATTTTTCGCTCGTATTTACTGTAATATATTATTGATTATGTCAAAGTCATGCGATTCTCTACGGTGGAGTTGACCAGTTCGTCGAAAAAATTGTCACTCAGTCATTTTGAAATTCAAATTACAGTAACACATTGCTTAGGCTGAGGATGACAAGCATGACGCCTTCAAAGCGACAAAGTATTTCACAATTCCACCCAACAGAAAGTAATACTCTATTACACTCTCATGAAAAAAAAAAGTTCCACAGCAATATTATTTACCTACGAAAACATGTTTAACCCCATACGCCCCAGCCCATTAATAACATTGCTGAATAGTGATCCCCAGTCAGTAAGCTCTAGATATAGATTTAAAGTCTAAGGTATGGACCATTTGATCTGAGGGGGCAGTCTGAGATATTTTAGAGAAAAAATTCTGACCCTGATTTTTGCCTTAAACAAAAATTCTGGCCGTATCTGGATTGAAAACAATAATCTTGTCCACTTTTTTGCTTTTAGAAAGAATATTTTCAACAGAATTATTTAGCATTAAATGAACATGATGAATAAAAAACGGGCGTAATTTTTTTTTGAGAGGGGGGGGGGGGGGGGGGGTTGCATGTGAATCCCATATCTGACCGGAATGTCTGTTTCGCCGAACTGATATACTGAATAATTTTTTCAAGGCCCGACTGCAACCAGCCTGCTGTGTGTGGCCTATATGTCTCCATGTGTCGACCGTCATTCACAACTTCATTGTCATTTCCGACTCATTCGTAGCCTTTGGTTGATTTGGAACCCCTCACTTCCCTTGTTGGGTGAAACATTTCAACCAAACATTTGGATGAAAATTGCTTGTTTGTCTTTTTTCGTGTCGGTCGTATTGTGAATTTCATTGAATAGCCGTATATCTTGTTTACAACAAGAAATCTGTGAGGTTATGCTAACTAACCATACAACAAACGAGAATTTTCCATGTCCATTTTTTACTGACAAATCCCACATCAAATATATTAATTAGTATATAGCTTTGGATCCATCTAATCATTTCATAATAGACAATTGATGGAGAGAATACGGCACCAACCCTACACTTTAACTATAAAATGCATTTTACACTTATTTTATGTTTTTTAGCCAAAAAAAGGTCCAAAAAAATGTTCGCCTCGCTCCGCTCGGCCAACTTTAATACTACGCCCCCCCTTTCCAAAATCCTGGATCCGCCCCTGAACTTGAAGTTTGTGTGAAAATTGTCAAGGCTCCTGATCGAAAAATCTAAATATTTTCGAGGAAACTAAAAATGATGGGCTGAATTTAAATTTAATAAAGCATCTCATTAAGACAAACACTCGATATGAATATCTAGGCAATACAGTTTTGGATACGCAAACGTCAAGTTATGTTCAACACGAAGCGGTGGTTTTTTTGCCGATTTGTGCAAGTGGTTATCTCCCCTTGATATCAGCAGTCAAAAATAAAAACCAACCAAAATGAATAAAAAGGAGTTTATTTTACAAAAATCAAAAAGAAAATAAAAGAAAGTCGATTAACAACTATGTTATTATAATATTAAGAAGAGATACTTCTCTACTTTTCAGAGAAGGATTACAGGTAAAAATTGAAAGACAAAAAATTGGTAAAAATTAGATCTAGAAACCTAGCTGAATTGATATAAATTAGCCCTGGCTGATGAAATTTACTTTCAGTTTGTAATTTTTATAATGGGATATGGGATCACTCCTAATGTAACTACTTCTAACAATGTTTAATTCAATAAAACATACTGTATTCAATTTAAATAATCTTTCTGAAAAAAAATAGTACTGACCATTTATATTTTATATTTTAATAAAGTGGGACAAAGAGTCACAATTTAGTTTCTTCAAAGTAAAAAAGCCTTTTAACTCAAGCCTATGTTTCTTAGTTGAACAGTACAGTACTGCCTAGAAAATATCATACAGAAAAAGGATAAGTTTACCAAAAAAATGACAAAAATTCTGTAAAAAAATAATGCTTAAAATTGAATTTTAAAATCATTATTATGTAAAATTCAACTATTAGATTAGCTAGCACAGTAGCCCTTGTCCAATTTCTCAGGGTATTTTATAGTCCAAATAATTATGACGTCTTGGAAGGCTATTTTAAACTTTTGCATTTTATAGATTATGAAAGTAAGTTGTAGTTTACATTTTGAAAAAAAATGGGGCTTCTTCTCTTCAGGTTGCTGTATCTGCTGCTTTACATATTTATAAACAAAGTGTTGTATATTTTACCTGAATAATTGGATATTAATCTCAGAAATGAAAGTTGGTATGACAAATCTTGTGCATTTTACTTTAATAATGATCAATGACGATTAAATTTGACAAGATTTTGCCATTTGAATAAATTCAATTTTGTAAGCACACATCTCTATGAATTAATTTCTTGTTAGACTTGAAAAGCTAGTGTTTGCTCTTATTAATGTAGCTTACTTAACTTAGTAAAGAGATAATTGATAAGCACGGTTTTTAACTTATAAAATTATAAATATAATTAACTGACCTTCATTTCCTTTTTTCATATGTTTTTTCCTCCAGAAATTTTCTTTGCAATGCATTTTCTATTGCTATTTTTGTGCTTTTGTTTATCCATAGGCCATCATTAATTTGTCATATTTGCTTCCAGTATAAATGAAATTTGCTTAGACCTATAGTTTCAAACGCCATAAAGAAGAACTTTGTTTGTTGTTTCACTTGTTCAATGTGTAAATTTTCACTATGCACATGACCCTGACACATATTTTGTAAACGTTATATATGACGTATGTTGAAAAAGAAAACAATGTCACTGTCAATTTGTGTAGGGGATCAAAAAGGGGTTTAATTACTTTAAATGGCGATATCGTATGGAATTGTGAAAAACAACAATTTTTAATCCCATTTTCATTCATATCCATAATAAAATCAGTATTTTAGAGTACTTTGGAAACAGGTACAATGAAAAGAAGTTGAACTTTACTGTTTTGAAGTAGAAACGCAGCCAAAACCAGGTACAAATTTACATGACTGGTGGTCACCAAAATTGATGTATAATAGTAAACAAGAGTGCACACGCTGAAATGTCTCGCCTTCTTTACTAATCATTGATATTATGTTGATAGTCCTAAATATAAAGCTTTATTACAACTGTCACATAAACATAACATTAACCAAGTAAACTAAACATTGACCAATGAACCATGAAAATGAGGTCAAGGTCAGATGAACCATGCTAGGCAGGCATGTACAGCTAACAATTCTTCCATACAACAAATATAGTTGACCTATTGCTTATAGTTTAAGAAAAACAGACGAAAACACAAAAACTTAACACTGAGCAATGAACCTTGAAAATGAGGTCAAGGTCAAATAAAACCTGCGTAACTGACATATAGATCATAAAATATTTCCATACACCAAATATAGTTGAACTATTGCATATAGTATTAGAAAAAAAGACCAAAACTCAAAAACTTAACTTTGACCACTGAACCATGAAAATGAGGTCAAGGTAAGATGACACCTGCCAGCTAGACATGTACATCTTACAATCATTCCATACACCAAATATAGCTGACCTATTGCATGCAGTATTAGAAAGAAAGACCAAAACTCAAAAACTTAACTTTGACCACTGAACCATGAAAATGAGGTCAAGGTCAGATGACACCTGCCAGCTAGACATGTACACCTTACAATCATTCCATACACCAAATATAGTAGACCTATTGCATACAGTATAAGAAAAACAGACCAAAACACAAAAACTTAACTATAACCACTGAACCATGAAAATGAGGTCAAGGTCAGATGACACCTGCCAGTTGGACATGTACACCTTACAGTCCTTCCATACACTGAATATACTAGACCTATTGCTTATAGTATCTGAGATATGGACTTGACCACGAAAACTTAACCTTGTTCACTGATCCATGAAATGAGGTCGAGGTCAAGTGAAAACTGTCTGACGGGCATGAGGACCTTGCAAGGTACGCACATACCAAATATAGTTATCCTATTACTTATAATAAGAGAGAATTTAACATTACAAAAAATCTGAACTTTTTTTTCAAGTAGTCACTGAACCATGAAAATGAGGTCAAGGACATTGGACATGTGACTGACGGAAACTTCGTAACATGAGGCATCCATATACAAAGTATGAAGCATCCAGGTCTTCCATCTTCTAAAATATAAAGCTTTTAAGAACTTAGCTAACGCCGCCGCCGCTGCCGCCGCCGTAGCCGCCGGATCGCTATCCCTATGTCGAGCTTTCTGCGACAAAAGTCGCAGGCTCGACAAAAATGATGGCTTCATAATTGTGTAGAAATTTGAAATAGGTTACCCGGTTTCATTTAAGATTTTTAACGTTCTATTCCGTATTTGGATACGCAAACGTCAAGTTATATAAATTCGATGTTTTTGGCGAACAAAAAAGATGGCTGATCATTTTTAGAACGGACAGGATAAAGTAATAGCAAATAAAAGTTATTTTTGGCAATGTTTCAATGTCGTATTGAAACTATATTGTTCACAAAATCTACAAACTTTAAAAATCAATTATAATAAAAGCATGACAAGTTGAAAAAAATAGTTTAAACGTCGATTTTTTAGCCGATTTATTTCGCGGACTTTTTGACGTCACCGACGACTGTAGCGCCACCTAATTAATTCCCCCTGCTATTGTTGCTGATAGAGCTTGACGACAACGGACGTTTCCAAGGACTTGCTTTCCAACTGGATTAATTATAGAATAACTAATCGAAGAATTCAAATAGAGAAAAATATTCAACGAGTGACCGAAGAACACATTAATTCATGAATGCGCATAGCGCATGAGTTTATTATCAGTGTTGTTCGATCACGGGTTGAATATTTTTCGATATTTGAATTCTTTAATTAGTTATTCTTTTTATTACATTGGCAAATGGCTTTATTTAATGAAATTAATGTAGAAAATGTAAGGAACTATATGTTTTTTCTACGCATTCACAATATGTTTTGATTCGACGTTATCGACGTCTTGACAACGCCTATTGTTGTATGAGGTCAGAGAGTGAAATAACCACGTTTATTTCACATGTGAGATTATCGGTTTTTATTTAACTGGGAAATCAATGTAATTCATTGCTACCAATGTAATAAATAAAAATAATCAACAGGTCAGGAAAAGGATAAATCTAGTAAGAATTAGAGAAAAATTATGACATCTAAATTAAAACTAAAGAAATTGACAAAAGAATGTTGTTATTTTGGTCAGTATAGGGTACGTATACATCAATGAAATATCAACCCAACAACAAAAATAAATAATCTAGAGGGCAACACAAAGCAATCTGTTTGGTTAAAAAAAATTAACAAAGACAACAACGAACAATGTCTATGAAGTTGATATTTTTGAAAAATAATTAGCAATGTCACATTACAAAGGGGCATACTCAAATAACTACTTAACACATATATCATGCTAGCTCAGCTGTCTTCAATTCAATTGTGTAAAAGAGTAATAAATGAGCTTTTCTCTCAAAAAATAAAAAATATGCGGTCATAAAATTTTACATTCAACCAAAGAAATGAATAAAATGAATGACAATAAAAAAATCATTTCTCATTAATTTTACTTTACGTTTTTTATGATGATATTTTGAGGAAATAATATTATGTTTCAATTAAATACATTAACAAATATTTTTTGGTTTATACATCGTAAAAGAAATTTATGATTGTTTTATTGTAAACATAAAACAGTATCCTAACATAAGAAAGTCATTATCAGGAAAGTATTTAAATTAGAGAAAATTCCTAGGTTTTCTAATTATTGAGATATGACTCCTGAAGGTTAGTGTGTACCACATTGGTGGTCTCCTGGTAGCGTGTTTGCCTTCAGTGCGGGAGATGGTTGCTTTTCTCCCCATCAGGGTCAAACTATTGACTTGAAAATTGGTATTTACTGCTTCTCCACCAAGCCCACAGCATTTAAGAGAAAGAGCAAAGACTGGTCGACTCAAAGTCAGACTGATGTATCAGGTAGGGTGTTATATCTGCCTGAGGACTATTACCATTAAAGATCTGACTCAGTGTTTCGGTCTAGTACAAAGCAGGGCTCATATTGATACCTAATTAGCATGTTCTCCTCATGAATATGCATTTACTTTACCACTTACCACAGCCATTCATAATCATCTGAAAGGAACATGCATGCAATCAACCTAAACTGTATTTAACTTAATTTTACTTAATTCAAAATAGATGGATGTTGCCCTGTGCAAACTTTAGTTATCATCTGGAAACAATTTCTTTTGTATGGCAAGAGAGATATGCAGACAGAGCCAAAGTGGCATGCAAACATATGCATGTAGCTCATTTTTATAGCTTTCACTGTAGTGTTTGAGGACTGTTGCTTGTCTTTTTGTCATTTTTCTCTAAGTGTTTTTCCTAATATTTTTGATCAATTGCCATCTTAATACGTTCTCCCATTTTTTTCTTTCTTTTAATTTTTAAAAGGAGATCTTTCCTTAAATTTTAAATATATATGTTTTAAGTGTATTTTTGCATGAACAGGGTCTAATTACTACTAAAACCAATCATGATTCATCCAAATCAAGACACATATAGGCCACATCTTTTAATGTTCTATATGTGTTATTGATACATAGCTTATTTTATATTATTCTGTAGTAACATCCATTGAAGGAACTGGTCAACAAGACCTCTAGAGGTGACTCAGATCAAAATTGTATGCAAGAAAAATTTGTTTTGAACTTAATCCAACAATACTATTTTTTTAATAAGAATATATTCAAATAACTGGATGTTCTTTATTTATTCATTTATTGACTCTTCTTTTTATCAAAATATATACATTCCTTGATTCATTTATATTATTTCATACTTTGTAGCTTATTACATGTAACCTTGTAAAATATACTTTGAACAATCAGCTAAAGACATCATGTAACATTACTGGCATGACTGGTACATTTTAGACATACAGAAATACTTACCCCATGCAGTAAACTGTGCTTATAAAACTATAGGCATATCAAAACACTTACCCCAGTAAACTGTGCTTGTAACACACTCGGCATAATTATATTAAAACACTTACCCCAGTAAACTGTGCTTGTAAAACACTTGGCATATCAAAACAAAAATAAGATCCAAATGTCAGCATACAGTTGAAGAAAAGCAACAAGAAACGGTATGATCCTGAAAATATATATTGGTATTACTAATAAAATAAATATTGTTCTTACATTTACCTTCAAAAAAGAGATCCTTCTGAGAAAAATTTTCTAGGGGGATGTTTTGGTGTAGCACTTACATGACCCATTTATTAAGTTTTTACATAATACTCTAACTCTTATCAAAATGTTTATTATTGCTGTGCTTGTACCAGACCTGCCAGCTATCCCCATTTATGAGTGATGTCCCTATGATATTTTTTTTACCGCATGGTATTTGTTTATTGAGTCCACAGGTTTCAACAGCAAGGGTGGCGTCTTCAGGACAAGTATGTACATGAAATAAAACAGTGAAGTACAAATTTTGCGGTTATCGCAGTTAACCCAAATTAATGTTACAATAATGGTTGTTATGACGAAGTTATCAACTGATCAATATAAATAGAAAGTGAAAGTGAAAATACTTAAGACATGTATAAAACATGCACTAGATCCTCTTGTGCTTAAAATCCCCCATGGAGGTTTAGAAAAGTTGGCAGGTATGTTGTACTTGTGTTTTTGTCATCTATTAAACAATTATAATAAAGTTGTTTTTCCTTTAATGAACTTTATTGACTATTTTCTTGTATGCACCTTTTGTCAGATCAATGATCATTTACATTGTATCCCTATTTATACACAATTACTGGACATTACATATGTTCCCAATAAATTTTGATTTCACATATGAAAATGTTTGTCACCACATCAGGTTGGGTCCACATGCGAGTTCCATAGAAAGGGGTTATATGTGACCTTAATGGTAAAAACACTGGCAAGCGTAGGGTTGCATACAATGTGTCGTTATGAAGTTTATACTCGTGCAGTGTATGATACCACTTGACACTATTATTATAGACAATATTTATTTGAGCAAACACATTTCCATTAAATGGTTATGGTATGGTTTAATACAAACAATTAAACAGACAATTATACAGTAATAAGTGAGTGACAGTGGATTTCATATGAGAATTAAAAAAAATATCAACATATTTAAAATTAACACTTTTTCTATTCATTGAAAATGAGAGACAATCATTATCGGCGAACTGCATGCTGCTCAACAATGTAGACATATGCTTCAGTGATATTTCATACAGTTTAAATATGTGTTTAATTTTTAATATAGGTATCTCTTAATAAGTTAAAGCATGGACAGTCTGAAAAAAATAGTATTCATCTGTTGCCAGAAAAAGTGTTGTTTTCTTCAAATATTACAATAACGCCCCCTTTTAATTATATAGTAGATACTTTAATGCCAGTTTTTGTTCATTAAAAAATTAAAAACTTACTATCTGTTGCTTCCATATCTATTTTGTCCGACTATTTTAACGGCTTAATGTTGTTAACAATCGCCAGTGTCGGGGACTGATCAAAAGTCACTATCACATGATCAGAACTTGACAGAAGCTCTTAAATTATTTCGTTTCAATCAGAATATTTTCATGCTGGTTGTCAGTATAAATCACAATCAAAAAGGAGATTTTTGCCAGAAAAATCCGTTTATATTACTTAATACTTAAATATATTTTACAGGGCATTCACTTTGTAAAGTTTAGTAGTAAGAAAGTCGTGAAGTATTGTGGTGTTTATAATTTGTTTCCATTCGGGTATTGTCGTGCCTTTTCATTCTTACATGAAAAGGACAAAAAGGAAAATACCGCAGGAAATCTGAATTTTTGGTGGAAATTTTTCCACTGGAGCTTTGAGTGTGGACCCTCTTTTAGCACTATTGCCATCACCAGAGACATATAATACAATGTATTATATGTCTCTGCCATCACTGAGGGTCTGGATGGGGGTCTTTAATTTCGATGTTGTTTACACTTTTAGGGTATATTAAAATTTGGATTATTTTGTAAAATTGTCATGAAAATGATTTTATTAATTATTAATTAGATGATTTCTTTATTCTGTACATTGTTCATTTCTCTAATTAGTATATATTTTTACCGACTCCCCCCCCCCCCCCCCCCCCCCAGTTATTCTTTGTACTTTTGCACCCATTATTCTCTATTCTTAATTTTTTTTGCTCATTTTTTTTTTCTATTCTTTATTTCTTGCTCATTATTCTCTCAGTCTGATACTCCTATATGTGTTATAGTAGTCTCAGTTATTCTTTATATTCTATATACGTTAGATACATTGTTCCCAGATATACCCCATCCAGATCCTCGTCATTTGGCATCCGTCGTACGTTGTCGTAGACTTTATAGAAAACTCTTCTCATTTGCAACCACTGGGCTAAATCTTACAAAACTTTACCAGAATGTTCCTTTATTTGGTATCTAGTTTTAAAAAATTATATCAGACCCTTAAATAAACATTGCCGGTGTTGCTAAAAATAGAACAAAGATGCATAAAATCAGGAACATATATATGTTAGATATACTGTTCCCAGATAAAATGCAGTTTTTGGATTATATCTTCTCAAAGACTAAAGCGTAAAAGAGGGGCGGAAGACACCAAAGGGATGTTCAAATTGATAAGTCGATAACAAACTGACAATGGCCCACGGCAAAAAAAAAAAAAAAAAATCGATCAACAGACAAACAGCAGTCATGATACAAAACCGTGACAACATAGAAAACTAAAGACTGAGCAACATGAACCCCATCAATTAAACCCATGGGGTGTTCTCATGTGCCCCGGAAGGATAAGCAGATACTACGCCACATGTTACCGTCACGCACCGGTCGCGTTGGCTTGATAATGTAAGTAGGTCACATTCGAGGAATGGAAAGTTCACAATTGAGAAGCTGAAATCATCTCTTTTGGACTTTTTTTCACGTTCGATGGGATGAGATGCATTCACGAAATGGATAAAACAAGAAAAGGCTGACAAAAAATCCTGAGATTCTTTTTTTAATTCAGTAATGAACATAGTTGATATTCGTATTAAACATTTCAAAGAACATTTTACTCCTAACAACAACCATAATAGCTCTATTTCTCGTATCAAACATAAGGTAAAAGAACTCGCCAAGGAATTTGTTTTTGTCCCGGTTGATAATTAGGCTTCCAATATTATCTTATTGTTTGACGTAAATTTTACATTGAGGTTCTGCAAAAGTTAATCACGAATTCACTAACATTACAACTGACTCCATATTCGAAAAATGACATCTGTAACAAACATAAACTTTTAGCTACCTCTTTACAAGCAGAACCAAATACAATGAAAGTCTCAACTATATGTACTGGCTTCCGAAGCTGCACAAAACACCTTACACATATAGATTTATTTCGTCTTCAAGCCATTGTTTCACTACTAAACTGTCTATTCTACTTACTAGTATACTTGGTACAATCAAAAACCTAGTAATAAATTGTTCAAATAATGCCTTTGAAAATAGTGGAATTAATTACTTTTGGAGTGTCAAAAATTCGTTGGAAGTACTTTATAAATTGCATGCTTATATTGGTGATTTCGAATCTGTTCAAAGTTTTGATTTTTCTACCCTATATACCACTTTGCCTCATAATCACATTAAGAAAAAACTCACACACCTGATTAAACGGTGAATGCGAATATATATGTCCAAACTCTTTTAGGTCATATTTTAGTAACAACAAACAAAATAACCATGTCAATTGGACCTGCTTTGATACGATGTCTGCACTTAAATTTTTACTAGATAACATTTTTGTTCGCTATGAAGATTCCGTATATCGTCAAGTTATCGGAATTCCAATGGGGACTTACTATGCACCACTTATTGCGAACCTGTTTCTGTATTGTTATGAGTTACAATTTATGACTAAAATCAGCAAAGACCCATCGAAACAACATCTGATACAAAAATTTAATAACACTTTTAGATATTTGGATGATATATTGGCTCTCAATAACGACGACTTCATGCAGGATGTACAATTAAGAGATTTATCCTGATGAACTGACTTTAAATAAAGCTAATACTAACGATACTAACAACGCCCCTCGGAACACTACCCTTTCCTGGATCTTGATATCTATATCTTTAACGGGAAGCTTAATACCCAAATTTACGATAAAAGAGATGATTTTTCATTTCCTATTGTTAATTATCCATTTTTAGATGGTGACGTTCTCTTGTCACCATCTTATGGTGTTTATATATCTCAACGTGATCGATTCGCTCGTGTATGTGACAACGTTTTTGATTTTAACGAAAGAAATCTCTGTTTTACTGAAAAATTATTACACCAGGGTTTATCACAAACTACTAGTCTAGTCAAAACATTTACTAAATTGTATCATCGGTACAAGGACATCATTCGTAACTAAATATAAATCAAAATGCATGCAGACATCTTGGACTTATACGTTCAGGTATTTCACATCCAATCTTTTTGGTAATATTCTATACAAAGCACAAAAATGTCGTCAATCACCTCAAAAGCTAACCAAACCTTTAAACAGACTTATAAAGAAGGAATATAGTTACGATACTGTTGTCAGGTCATTAAAGATGGCATATTTGGGAATTAATATTGATTCACTCATTGGGTCTTTGCATCGGAAATAAACACATTTATTCTAAAACCAGTTGTTGGCATGATACGGGTTATGTTCTTCTCATATATTTCATATATTTTATTATGGTATGATACTAAACCCTTAACGGGAGGTATTGTGCTTGATTTTCATATGATGAAGACATAATCTTTCAATCAGTTTAATTGAGGTCTGACGCTGGCATGTCAGTAACTGCATGCTAGTAGTTTTTTGTTAATTTATGTATCATTGTCATTTTGCTTAGTTTCTTCTGTTACCTATTCTGACATCGGACTCGGACATCTTTTAAACTGAGTTTTACTGTGCGTATTGCTGTTAGTTTGTCTATTCTACATTTGGCTAGAGGTATAGGGGGAGGATTGAGATCTTACAAAACATGTTTAACCCCGCCGCATTTTTGCGTGATACGGGTTATGTTCTTCTCATATATTTTATGATGGTATGATACTAAACCCCTAACGGAAGGACTGTGCTTGAATTTCATATGATGAAGACATAATTTTTCAATCAGTTTAATTGATGTCTGGAGCTGGCATGTCAGTAACTGCTAGTAGTCCTTTGTTAATTTATGTATCATTGTCATGATTTTGCTTAGTTTCTTCTGTTACCTATTCTGACATCGGACTCGGACCTCTTTTAAACTGAGTTTTACTGTGCGTATTGCTGTGTGTTTGTCTATTCTACATTTCACGGGCTAGATGTATAGGGGAGGGTTGAGATCTCACTAAACATGTTTAACCCCGCCGCATTTTTGCGCCTGCCCTAAGTCTGGAGCCTCTGGCCTTTGTTAGTCTTGTATGTTTTTTTTTTAAATTTTAGTTCATTTATATGTTTCGGAGTTTAGTAATAATAATAATAACAAATTCTTTATTTAAAGAGGGTAAACTCAGTTAGTTACAATAAACTAATCTTCCCTGAGGCCCTCAGATACAAATTACAATACAATCAAAAACAGATATTTACACATAGTTAATTTACAGTCAAGTAGTTCAATGCAATATTATTAACATGATAAGATATAAAGCTGTTCAAGATGTACATGTAGTTAAAAAATCAAATAAAAATAAAAAAATATACAAATACATTGTAGAAAACATAATCTTATCAGGACTGTGTTAAGTACTTCTTGATACTTTGTTTAAAAGTATAGTGTGACGTCCATTTTCACTGAACTAGTACACATTTGTGTTTAGGGGCCAGCTGAAGCCCGCCTCCAGGGTGCGGGATTTTCTCGCTGTGTTGACGACCAATTGGTGGCCTTGGGCTGTTTTCTGCTCTTTGGTCGGGTTGTTGTCTCTTTGACACATTCCCCATTTCAATTCTCAATTTTATGCAGCCATAGTAACTAATAGCCATGTATGGTTCAACAAACTTTGAATTATCAAGTGAGAGAACATCATCTATAAAGCGGAACACGAAGTTAAAGGACAATGCTAACTTCTTTTCATTCTTCATATGAAAGAAGCTCCTGCATGTATAGAGTCAGCTTACACGTCGTCAAGAAGATGAGCACAGTTGTTTCCCATGGGAATGTAGATTGTTCATATTGTTGAAATACATGTCCTTCAAACGTAACAAATATGTTGTCAATCAAGTAATCAAGCATCTTGATAATGTCAGATTCAGAGAACGTTTTGTTTGAATCAGAGTGATTTTTTTGTACAAAGAACGATTTATCCCTCCCTAAGACAAGATACTTGTATCTACGTTGGGTGTCATTCTTTTTTTATAAAACAAAGCAGGACCAAATAACTCTTTAAATTTGCCCCGGAAAAATCTAGTGTTAATTAAGTTATAAAGTTTTTTATCCTACATATGATTTTTTGATATGGTCCTTTAACAACATTTGGGTCTTTAAAAATCGATGTAACATGTGTATTCATAGACCCATTCAATTTTTTTAATTCTAATTTGCATCAACGACCTCACAGGCTTAACCCATTTTATCTAGATTATCTAGGTCTTCTTTTTCGTAAGAGATAACATGACATGAGTAAAAATGATCAACAGGTCAAGGTCAATCTGTAAAATATTTAGAAAATCGGACAACCCACTATAAAATTTTATTGCCCGTTAGATGTCAATTTTAATGAAATTTCACAGTTTTTGGTTAACCTCTCA